GCTTTGGAACTGAGAAAATATATTAACAGCATAAGCTATATCCGGACGAGTACGATTGCAAAGAAACGAGAGACATCCCAAAACATTTCTATAAGGATAATTCATCATTTCAGTCGTTTCTTCTTGTGTACTGGGACTTTGAGACTTTGAGTATTTCACACCTTTAACTATTGGAAGGGAAGTAATTTGTATTTTAAAAGACTTAAATCGATCAACTATGTCTTCTATATATAATTGCTGATGAATTAAAACACTATTTTTCTCATATTCAAATTCCACACCCAGAAGCTTTCTTGTTTTACCTAAAATTTTCAAATCAAAATGTGAACTCAGGACTTTTAATATCCTTTTGGCCTGAACTTCACTTTTCCCAAACACAACTATATCATCAACATAAACCAACAGAATGACAAAATCTTTAAAACGATAGACACAATTACACCACTCAAACTTGATAAACCCTAGGTTACATAGTGTTCTATCCAACTCGTAGTACCATAATCGGCCCACTCTGATGCAAACCATACAAGGCTCTATCTAAACGACACACAAAAGTTTCTTTATCTCGCTCTACAAAACCCTGAGGTTGGGACATGTAAATTTCCTCTGATAAAGGAGCGTAGAGATAGGCACTTTTCACGTCACATTGTATATTTGCCCATCCAAGGTGTGCAACTAAAAGGGAGAAAAAGAGCCTTATTACTGAAAAGTTGACTACAGGAGAGTAGGTTTCATCATAGGTATCGTATTTAATTTGCCGATAACCCTGAGCCACTAAACGAGCTTTAAAACGAACAATGTTTCCAAATTCGTCACGTTTAATGTTGAAAATCCACCTGCAACCTAGTGGAGTCTTGTCTTTAGGAAGTGGAACAAGATGCCATACCTTATGCTTTCGCATGTTGGCCATTTCCTCTTCCATTGCCTCTATCCATTTAAGCTTTTCTGTGGATTTCATTGCCTGGTTATAAGTGTTTGGAATTGAAACATCTAGTCAGCTATCTCGGGTATACGACGTTGAAGGAGTACCAGTTGGGTCGATTTCACCACTATAAGTATTGCTTCCCTTGAAATCAAACAAGGTAGGATCATACTGAATATTATGTTCAGTGCAATACCTTTCTACATCATTTGGTGATCGTAGTCTTTGATTAGACCCCCTCTCAAAATAATACACATCCGTACGAGTGCCGTCTGGCCTTGGAACAGGTTTACGAAGCCAAGTTACTTGTCTCAATGTAGATTGAGTGTCAGTGCCAATTGTAGAAGAAGGTACATTGGTATCGGTTCTTTCCTCTATTTCAGGAAAATAGCCAACTGGAGTGTCAGTAGATTGGAACTCTACCCTTTCTTCAGATTCCAAATCAGGAAGGGTGCCCAGTGCAGCTCCACTGCCACTTTTCTGCATTCCAATCGACTCTTTAAAAGTAGCATTTAGGGTTTCTACTACCTTTTGCTCATTTTCCAACCAAATCTTGTACCCTTTTGTTCGTACACTGTACCCAATCAATCGGCCCTTTGTTGCCTTTGGATCAAGTTTAGAATTTCTTTTAGCCTTTGGAATTCCCACATAGGCAATCGTTCCAAATGCCTTAAGATGACGTACTGATGGTTTCCGCTTAGTGTATAATTCGAAATGGGGTTCTATCTTGGCCCTTATGACAAATTCTATTAAATGAATATGCAAAATACATTACTGCATCTGACCAAAATTCGGAACTCATTCCACTATCATGTAAGATTGCACGTACATTGTTGAGAGCTGTCTGATTAAATCTCTCACAAACTCCATTCTGTTCTGGAGTATATACATCTGTAAATTCGTGCTTTACACCATTTTTATTACAATATGACCTGAATTGATCATTATCATATTCTCGCCCGCCCATTGTCAGTCCTAAAGTATTTCAACTTAAGGTTCAAAGATCTTTCCGCACGTGCTATATGCCTTTCAAATACTTCAAACACCTGACTTTTCTCCACAATGGGGTACACTACCACATAACGAGAATATTCGTCAATAAAGGAAACGAAATAACGTTCACCATTCCTACCTGGAATGTTAATAGGTCCCCATACATCAGAGAAAAAACCCTTTCAAGCGGTCTCTTTACTTGAATACCTTCTAAGGGTCTATAGGAGATTCGTCTTTGCTTATTGATTTGGCAATGTTCACAAAACAAATTAGGTGAGTGCTTTAACACAGGAAGACCTCGAACTGAATGTCTCTTACTAGTCCTGACAATAGTATCATAATTTATATGACCAAACCGACCATGCCATAATTCACTATTATTATGCTGAACTGTGGATGCCTCAAATTTTACAGATTTGCCCCCCTTTTTGACTATTTTCGGGAACACATGATAGTTACTTCCTATCAACTTAGCCTTGTACAAAGTTGAATTCTCATCATCAGTAACTTTAATTTGCCCATTTTTACCATAAAATCTTGCTCCATTGATATCCACCCTAGGTCCAGATATTAAATTTCGTCTCAGTTCAGGTGAATATAAACACATCTTTAAGCAAAATAACCGTATCCCGAAATTTCATTTTAACAGTACCCTTCCCATGAATTGGAAAAGTTACCCCATCAATAGCTACTAGCATATTCTCATTTTTCACAGGAGAAAAAGTATCAAACAATTCACGATTTTTACAAAAATGATGAGATGCAGCCGTATCAAAAATCCAACTATCATCATTTTCTTCCAAATTGTTAACATTGCTTGAGCTATAAAATGGGACTGTGCATGGGAATAATTTTAATTTTACTCAACTTGGGTTTATTCTTACACTTAGATGTTTTATTACTACTAGATACAGCTGAGGAAACAGAAGAAGCAGGTGAGGGTGATCTGGAAAAATTACCTCTCATTCTACAGTATTTTTGAATATGACCTGGACGGCCACATTTATAACACTTGAGCCCTTTAATCTGCTTAAATTTGGGTTCACAGTGAGTACTTTGAACTTCTATAGTCTTATTGGAGTTTTCCCTATCTATCTCTCTTAAATTAAGACGCGTTTCCTCTGCTAGAATTTCAAGTTCAACATTTTTAAAAATGAACTTTTCATCTGGCCACCTCAAAATTCTGAACTACTTGATCAAATTTATCTGGAAGGAAACCTAAGAAACTGGAAACATATATATACGTCTCTTACAGCCTGATTAATATCAGCTAACTGTTCAGTTACACGTTTTAATCTAGAAGAAAAGAAACTAATACTTTCATTTGGCTTAATTTTGCAATTTAAGAACTCTGAAAACAGGGACATATGTCTTGACCGATAATCTGGCTGGAAATATTTGGCAAGCGTATTCCATGCCACTACTGGGTCATCAATTTCACATATCAAGTTTCTATATTCAGGGCTTACATTCATATAAATTAACGATAATGCCAATCGACTTCTATTTTGATAGTCGGCAATAATTTCTTTTGCAATACCCTTAACATCATCTAAATCAGGACATTTTTCAATACCTTTGACCAAAAGCCATGCATTTTTTTCATTCAAGACAAACTTCATATCTTTGGACCATGTAAAAATAATTACATGCATCAAGTTTAGCAATATTATGCATGACACTAAACAGTAGCCATATTTGAATTTTAACAAAAACCGCCCCCCCAATCTCTTAAGTCCTAAATTAACTTTAAACTTCAAAAGTCTGCACTAAAAATAACTCAGGAGCTACTGGGGCCCATAACCAAAAATGATGCTAAAGCAAAGTTTAAAGTTTAAAGAAATTAAACATTTAGCAGTGGTAGCAATGAAAAGCTCCCTGAGATATGTTGTGCAGACATTGAAGACAATAAAAGATTTTGAACTTAACCAATTTATTAACAATATAATAAAAATAAAAACACAGAAAATAAATTTCAACAATATTAGAGTATTAGGAAAACATAATAAACATATATCATCATTCATCAAAATATTTTTACCTGTACTCCAAAACACTGGCATTCTATACAAACAAATTTTAAAAAAATGAAAAGGTCCTAAATAGTGACTATGCCGCCTAAAAATAAAGCAGGCTACCCATTCCATAAGTCCATAATCAATGGTCAAGAAAACACCTGAAAAATTTAAATGTGAAACCACTTAAAACCAGCCTAACGCCGTTTGCACTTAATTCCACCCTCCTTGAAGAAACATGGACGCTGCCTACGGTAGTCACTCACAGGACAGCCCCCGGAACTGAAGAACTTCACTCTGGAACCATTATCTTGTAAACCGGAATCAAGGCATCCTTTCACCAGACTGCAGGCATCCTTTGGAAGGGGCTGGAAACCGCTCACACACCAGCCGGTAAACCAGGAACTAGAATGGCTGAGCCAGAGCGATGCGAGATACTTATAGCAGAAGTAGGAATGACGTCATCGCACGGCAACCAATCAGCTATCGGCACGAATCGGCTTTTCAGATGACGTAACATTGTTTCGATTTTTGCATCTCAATTAGGTTGAGACAGTCCGTTTTCAATGCAAACAGTGGCAGCAAGAAAAAGAAGTAGAAGTAACTACTATGTTATATTAAAATAAAAACTAAACTAAATAAACATTTCAAGGAGGAGAGATGATGCAAAAAAAATTTAAAAATAAGCTATATTTTCCAACAATAAATGTCTTGCGCACACGCGTAAAATGGCTATGCGCATGCGTCTATGCGGCGCATGCGCAGAAAGATTTTAGCTTTGAGGTCCGGATTATGGGTGTCCGAATTAACGACTTTTGACTGTATTCATTGGAAATGTAAGTGACGTCTCTCTTATCCTGCCACTTTGCAATCATCACACCATTAGCATACTTTGCTACAGTTTGCCCTTTCTTCAGTTTTTCTTTTTTTCTTTACCTCTTTCGGAAATGTTTTTCTGTTTTTTCTGATTGTCCCAGTGCAATGAGTTTTCCTATCAGCAAGACATTTGTCAGTTCATAGCTGTTATAATAATTGTCCATAAATATGCTATGTCCTACATCCAGCATTCCCTAGAGTAAATTCATAGCTACTTTTTTTGCATGTTCTTTTCCACCAGAATCATCCAATATGCCTGTATATATCATAAATTTCAGAACTATACGATCAGGAGTTGCGATCATGTACAACTTGATACCATATTTGTGACGTTTATTTGGTATATACTGTCTGAACATAAGCCGTCCACGCCACAATACCATCGATTCATCTAAACTAATCTCACGCCCTGGGTAATATATTTCAGATACTGGCGCGTTGAACAAATTCACCATATCTCTTACTTTATACAGTCGATCCTTTGGAAGCTCTGTATTCTGATCTGGGTTTTTTGCGAAGTGCAATGCCCTCAGTAACAACAAAAACCGATTCCTGCTCATATTTTCTGAAAATGCAAGTAAACCAAACAGTGAATCTGTTTTCCAGTAATCTTGTATACGGTTGATTCGTATAGTTCCCATATGTATGATCAATCCCACAAATACCAAGGGTTCCTCTTTTGTGGTGCTCTTCCAAGCATTGATGCGAGAATGTTTCTTTTTTTCTTGCGAAAAAGTACTTTATGAGCTTAATCATTAGTTTCAGCAACTATTTCTTCCAAGATACCATCAGTCAAAAAATGACGAAAGAAATCTATAGGATTGTTACCTGAAACAGGTTGGAGCAAACACTCGGATTTTATGAAAGGAAATTTTTTCATTGATGTTGAATCGTTTTCCCAAATAACGTTTTCTGCCATAGTTGAATCATCCTGCTGACATGCAGACTCTTGCACGATTCGTTCTTCATCATCATCAGAATCTGAAATATCATGGGTACTAGTCGGAGGAACGAATTCTTCGTCACTGTCATAACTAAAATCGCTCGGGTGCTCATCCGACAGCTCAGCCAACAGATTTGCTATTTCATCATCCGTAAGAGACTTTTTATACTGAACTTTTCTTTTTCTCGGATGCAAAGGCCCTGCACTATCATCTCTCTAACTCATACTAAAAGATTATTTTTTTAATAAAAAATAAAACAATAATTTTAAAACCACGATTATTTATACGTGGTTTCTATTCGATTTGTAATTTTCACTCCATGTCAATATGAGAAGAAATGCCCTGCATGCAATGCCAAATGAACTGGAGAATGAATAACAAGTACAGGATTTTCCCGCGCCAGCGCGTTACTGGCTGCTGAGACATCACTCCACATCACGCGTTGGAACATGATTGGCTCCTTCCTAATAACAAAACATCACGTGCTGGTGCGTGATTGCCAGTCAATGAGTTAAATACAAATATAGCCATTAAAGACTTTCTTAACCTTGCAGTTCTAAACAAATCTTTAGGTATTTTTTACTTGAAGTTATAGGCATTGTATAAGGTATATAATTGAAGTTTACTGTGCGATAGTATGAACTTAAATTTTTAATTACTGAAATGTAAATTTTTAAATATGAAATACTCAGTGCATTTTATATGCATCTTTTAATACTTCAACTATATTTAAAAACTGAAAACATCTGAAGTGTGAAATTATTACAAATTTTTCTTTTTCTTGTTCAGGAGCTGTTCTCAAAACATTGGGTGACAAAGAATTCACTTTTACAAAAATCGAGCAGGATATTAAAGACAGCGAAATATAGAACAAATATGGCGAAGCTGAATTAAATCTATGTTGAATTTTATTATTGAAAAAATTATGCTCTTCAGATTTAATGTTAGTTTTATTGTTAAACAGTAATTGCAGTTTTCGAATACCTGTAAAATAAACCTAATTCTTAAATTAATTTCATGTGTATTTCTTTTGCAAGTATTACAGTTCATAATACTTCAAACAACTTGATACTTGTTAATTTATATGGGATATGTTCATATTAATTTTATAATTTAAATAACTCATTGTCATCATATGAGCGTAATCTAAAATGCACAGTATTTGACAACAAATTAATAAAAAATTAGCCAACTTCTAATTGGTTTCTTTTGACCAGTTGCCTCCTTTTAAATCATTTAATACCATGCAGCTATGTGATGAAAAAAATAATTGGTATGTCCACATCAACATGTACATTTATAATGATGTCATAGAAAAAGTCGCATGACATAAATATTTAAAAACTTCAATATTCCTAAACAAATTAACTTTTTAAAATTTTATCTGGTATATAAGATAAAATAAAGAACATATTTAGGTAATTTTGAATTTGCATAATTTTATGAACTTATTTATGAAATTAATAGTTCCATTGTAAAAGGGAACTTTTGAAAAATGCCTCAATAAAGCATTTCTTTTGTAGAGGTGAAATTTTAGTACTGATCTATTATATTTATAAGATTTTAAACTGAGAAAGAAAACAATAATAGATTACAATACATTGCAAGATTGACTGATAAATGTAAAATTTTTACATATCATAATTATGTGTGTAAGTAAAACAGAAGTTACTCGATTAACTTGCATGCAAATTAATATTTTCTTTAACATGTTTGGGATAAACTAAATTTTAATAAATAAATATGTATATATTTGTGTGCACATTTTTGGTAAAAAATTTGCATAAATCTCCAATTACCCTTTTACTGCATTTTTCGTAAAATGTGCTTATTTTAATCTCCTATTTTTTATATAAATCTATGCAAAAATGTTCTGCATATTATGATTAAAAGATAAAATGTTAATTTGACATCAAATTTTTACATATCCACCTTTTAGGTATGTACAGCAATATGGAATATAGATAATTGGAAAATTTAAATGCAAAAAAATTAATTTCTATTCAAAAATTATGTAACACTTAAAGGCTGAAAATCACTTTTAATATTTCATTTCAAAGTGACTACAAAATATGCAATAAATTTTGTAAAGCTGAATTCTATGTTTTAAATCAAAGCTATCATTCATTTACATGGCATAAGATAATGTCCTTCGGAAAAGCAAATAATTTATTTAAAGTGTTATTTAGCAAAAATGAATTTAGTAAACAACTGTTTGCTACAGTTGTTGTTTACTAAATTTAAATTTATGAAATGAATTTAGTAAACAAAAATGTAAATAAATGATAGCATTAATTGATTTAAAGCATAGAATTAATGTTTATGAAATTTATTGCATATCTTGTAGTCATTTTGAAATGAAATATTAAAAGTGATTTTCAGCCTTTAAGTCTTGCGTAATTTTGAATAGAATTTTTTTTTTTTTTTTTTTTTTTTTTCCCCCAATTTACTAGTGCATTTAAATTTTCCAGTTATATATACTCCGTATTGCTGTACATAACTAAAAGGCAGATATTTAAGAGTTTGATATAAAAATGATATTTTACCTTTTAAACATAGCATGCAGAAAGTTTTTGCATAGATTTTTATAAAAAATATGAGATTAAAATACGTACATTTTACAAAAAAATGCAGTAAAAAGGTAATTGGAGATTTATGCAAATTTTTTACCAAAAAATGTGCATTTATACACAGTAAAGTGGAGAAGACATTGGATGAAATTTTTACCAGTCATTCGCATATGCAAAGAAAAAACTTAGGGAAGATTTAGGTCAATTACTATCAAATAAATACGTTTTTGTACCGTAAAATACGGGAAATATCTACGTTAATTTCTATCAAATATATACATTTTTGTACCGTAAAATACGGGGAATATCTACCTTAATTTCTACCTAATATATACGTTTATATACAGTAAAAAAATTGGGGAGATTTACGTAAATTGTTACTAAATATATACGCATATGTGAAGCAAAAAATTGAGATTTACTTATATGCAATAAATATACGTAAATTTTTACTAAAAATATACGTAAATCCGTGAAATTTACGTATATTATACGTAAAAGTTGCAAATGAACAGCAGCCTCTCGCGTAAATATACCTAAATTTTACATAAAAGTTACATATAGTACAACGTCAAAATGTACGTAAATATCTAGTAATTGCCACTGGGCACTTTTTATGATATTTTTACGTTCAATTTCAACGTTTTTTTATATGAAAGGCCATTCGTAAATTGCACATATTTTTCTCATGCAATTTACGAATGCATGCTGCCTGGGACCATACATTTCTTTATTTGTTTTGTTTTTATGTATGTATTGTTACAAATAGGTAATTTTAGTAGAATTATAAGTAAAAGTGTCCTTAGGTAATTTTAGTAGAATTATAAGTAAAATTGCTACATTTTTCTGGGTAATGCTGCACGATACAAATTTTAGGAGAAAGCTATGCCAGAAAAGTAAGAATATAGGGGCAAGTTCATTTAACATACAGTAAATACGTATCTTGGCACTTTGACAACATATTGCTAGGCTTACAACGGTTTCATCAACTTATTTTGTTGCCAAATTTAAAGACATTTTGGCCAAGTTCCCCTATCCTCATAATAAGTATTGTAACTGAATAAATGTAACTGGCCAGTACATTAGCTGTAATCATAATTCTACCCTGATATTACATTTCAATTATTTCAACAAGCAGAAAGGACTAGAAATATCTCGCAGGCCAGTTGAAATCTATTTAGCGAAGAAGAGAGAGCATCTGCTTTTAGTTACTTATTGTTGTTGTGATTTGTAATTCCAAATGAACTGAGATAAATCTGAGTTAGCTTTCTCTTTAGATATACTTTCATTGCGTTACCTTCAACGTTTTTAGTAATTTGAAGTGCAACAGCTGATTATGCTGTCTGATGCGAATATTTCTGTGAAAAATTCAAGAATTTTGAAATATATCTTTTGATGAAAATAAATTTTATTATCATGTTATCAGACTTGGGCAATCAATCCATTACAACTCCATATGCATGCAACACATTTTGGTGTCAGAAGTGGGATTGAATGCCGGTGACAAGAGCGACGGAGGAGCAACTGAAACAGCTGGTGACTGCCTTTGCCCCATTGTAAGAAAAGATGGAAGGGACCATCAAATCCGTCAAAGAGGAGATCAAAGCAGGTCAAGGAAACATGGAAGGGGGTATCAACTCTGTCAAAGAAAAGATGAAATGGGGCAAGAATTCATTAAAGGAGAGATGAAAGCTCGTCAAGAATGATTGAAGCAGATCAAGAACTTAAAAGAGAAATTACCTACATAATGGAAAGCAAATCTGAGGCTATGGTTGGTGAAGCAACATGATTGAAAATAAAGTAGAACAAATAGAAGAGAGAATTTCTGCCGTGGAACAAAAAACTAATTATAAAATTTCCTTTTATAAACAAAACAAACCAATTATAAAGTTCATATGGTTTTAGATTTTTACCCATGCCTTCTCGTCCCCCTCTCAAGCTATCCACATATGATTATAAGACCTGCTGCCAAGTATATAAGTCGGAAATGAATAGATTTGATTCCCAAGCCAAGGCCTGTTATCTTGCCGCTTCTCTGAGAGCAGATACAGCAAAGATCCTTCAGACCCTTCCCCAAAAACCAAAGGCTAGACTTCAAAAATCTATTGGGCACATTAGAACCGTTCTTTGGCTCCAATGCGCCCAATAGACTTTAGCAAGCTTCAATTAAAATCCCATCAACAGAAGTCCACAGAAATACGGACCGGAGCTTGCTACAGATGTTGAAAGGCTCTCTCACCTTGCCTTTTCGGAGTGCCCGAGAAAAACAAGGGAAATCCACTCCCTGCAGTACTTCATCGATGGCATGTGGGATCCTGAAGTACAACAGGCTCTACGAATGGCAGACAACGAATTAAAAAGCACTAGTGTATGCCATGAAATTAGAGGCAGTCCACCAAGCTATTCTTAGACTGCTGCCTAATCTGGTCATCTGAGATGTTAGAACTTCAACATCAGCTGATCGTGACCCGTGGAGTGATGATGAAGTCAGGAAAGACCAGTTGGAAGACGGCAACATTAACCCTTTCATGGGCACTATGTTATGATTTTTTAAAAGTTATGAAAAAGTAAGCATAATGACATGCAATGGTCCTATAGACAACATAAATGAGTTTAAAAAAAAAAATTTTCGTCCCCCTTTATGGAAAGAGGACCGGTTTCGCCATGAAACCAGCGCCCGTCTAGAGCATTTAAGACTAAACATTTGCTTATTTATCTTTACTTCGCTGAAAAGTATCTGAACGTAACCCAAATTGCAGATTATACTAGTAAATTACTGAACAACTAATGAAGTAAGTAATATTTGCATAAACACATATTTTTAATTATAAATAAAAATTTAAAACAGGAAACAAAAAAGTATGAGACAAAAAGTAACTAATAATGCACTAAATTACTTGCATAAAACTATGAAATATTTTTTTAATTACGTTTAAAACTAAGAAAATTATATGTAAAAATAAAATAAATTAAGATGCATACAATTATTTTACTCTGAACTAGAAGCATGAGAAAAGCGACCGCTAAGAGAAGCATAATAAAAAACGCAACTGTGAGTGTTTTTCAGCAGTGCTCTGTGTCTCTCTGAAAAAATAAGAAATGTTTTCCCTCTCTCAAAGCGCTCCATAAATCCTCATCTTTGAAGCCACTCAAATGAAGATATTGTGCAACTGTTTACAGCAGTGATCCGAAAGCAATAAACACAACTGCAAAAAATCTCGCGACAGTGTCATCTGATCCTTTCTTCGATGTCCTAGAGGGGCGGTGGTTTCATACTGAAACCGCAATGAAAACATTCAAAATTAAAAGGGTTCCATTACTTTATTTTTGTGAACTAAGGACATTTCATTACTCATTGATGCCTGCTTATAAAATATATTGTGGAAAAATTAAAAATTTTTAAGGTTTTTTGTTTTTAAAATGGGTCAAAAAGAGTAGTGTGCAAAAGAAGCTATTTTTGAATGATTCGTATCAATTAATGGATGCCCAGAAAGGTTTGCTGCTGCCATCTGTTATCAGCTTTAAGAAGTAATTTAATTTTAGCAGCAGTTTTGAGAAAAGAAAACCAAATTTTCTAAATTAAAAATAATGTTGAAAATGCTTTTCACGGCGAAACCACCGCCCCTGAAAGGGTTAAACCCATAACTGACTTAATGGAGTCTTCAAACATGAAACCTACCTGACAGGATGTTTCGATCTAGTCTTATGACAAAACAATACAGGGCTCCCTGGGACTCGCTCCACATTCAAAACATCGCCTTATACCAGAAATTCAAACCGGAGAATGGAAAGGCTTTCTGATGGCAGCTGATATTTCCAAGATCACGGATCCCACGCGCACCTGTATTTAGTTCCTTGGTTGTATAAGAACTACATAGTAGTTCCTAGTTGCAACTATATAACAGTCCTACAGGAGGTCTGAAGATTTTGCACAGATTTTGAGAGCCCTTCTTTAGTAATACAAAGGACAATGTGAAAAAGTAGTGCCAAACTTGTGATGCTTGTGCGGGATGAAAAAGACCCAAGAAACGCAGCCAAGGAAACTACATTGTTACAAGGAACACATTTTGAACACATCACCTTTGATATTCTAGGAGCTCTGCCACAAACTGTTGATGGCGACAAATACATTATGTTTGTCATTCATTACTTCCCCAAGTGGCCTGAAGCATATCCTATTCCTGATCAAGAGGCTGTCCCAATAGCAGAGGTAATGATACAACATTGGATTTCCAGGTTCATAGTGCCTCAGTTGCATTCCGATCAGGGGAGAAATTTTACCTTGACTGTAATTAAAGAAGTCTGCAAGCTACTTGGGCATTAAAAAACCCAAACAACACTTTTACATCTCCAATCACATGGCATGGTAGAGAGGTTTAATCGAACTATCCTTAATAAGTAATTTTTGGTAATTAATAATTAATTTTTTGGTGGTTTCCAAAAACCAACAGGACTGGGACAAGAAGTTACATCAATTTTTACTGTCTTATCGCAGTGCTGTCCTTGAGATTCCTGGCTATCCCTCATCTCAGATTGCTCTTCAATCGTGACCTTCATCTGTCTTGTGATCTCCTGTTTGGTCACCGTCTGAATGAACCTTCATCGCCCGAGGAGTACATCCAAGATCTTCAGGCATAATTTGAGGTGATACAGAATTTTGCACAAGAGCAAGTCTACTTGGGGAGGGAGAAGATGATGATCCGATATGACATGAGAGCTACAGGACATCCAATTCAAAAAAGGAAGACAAGGTGCAGTTGTGGAATGCAATTCAACAGAAAGGTCTCTCTCCGAAATCACAGTCACCTTGGGATTGTCCTCACACAGTCCTAAAATGGCTGAACGACGTCGCTGTTCAGATACTTAAGTCTCCGAATTCTAAGCGTAAAGTCGTTCATTATGAGAGATCAGCTTTCTTCTACGGCCATAGTACATAGTGTATATAATGTAAATATAATAAGACAATGGTCCTATTTGTTTGTAAATTTGTAAAACCATCGAAACTAGTCCTACGAAATTTAGAAATATAATGCAAATTCTTGTTGTTTAATTTCTCCAATAGTCGTAATTCATCATGTAATTTTAACCTAAATACTGAGTGTTTGACTAAATTTTCAATCTACATTTTAAATTAAATACCAAATTGTTAAGGCTTTACACAAAGGTCAGCAGCTGCATATTAGTCACTTAATACATTTACATAAAAACAAAATGTTATTAAAGCATTAGAAGTGACAAACGAAGTTAGATAGGATTAAAATAAATAAAACATGTAGCTCTCTCAACAGTTTCTTAATTTTTATATACTATATTTATGAACTATATGAATGAAATTAGAGAAAGCAAAATATAAAATACATTGTATTTCATATAATCACAATTAACATTTACAAATGATGCAAAACCCACAGAAGGAAAAACAAAATAAATCATTTAGCTTATATAATTTTCTATATATAAACTGTTTCTTAAATGTGAGTAGTTTCACTTGGTAAGTGTAGGAAAACTGCTACAACATTGAAGTTGGACACTGAATCACATGCTCATTTTTTTAATGAAAGATCTTGCTCAGCCGGTAACTTCCATCAAATTAACTTTCAGGAATTTTCATATTTTAACAATCTTTTGGGCTTCACTCTAAATCATTTCAACAAATATAAGAAATACATTCTTGCGAATTTCACGGATATATCTCAGTACATCTGCTTCAAGGTAGGGATAAAATACTTTCCAAACAACTACCAATTTTGTTTTCTCAAAAATGCACTCTGATTAAATCCTGCTTTACATTTTTTCTCTACGTTAAACTTTCTTGCCAGTGCTTACAATTTTTTTTTCCTGCATAATGCATCAATTGCATTATAAACTTGAATATGTAATGCACTCTTGCTTTACCCATACTTAACCCTCTGTACATAAGAAGATAATTCTAGTTCAGGTACCTTTGCAAATCTGGATTTGTCGATGTGATTTTAATGTTTAATTTTACATATGTTAACACATTGGGCTAATACATTTAATTGTGCCCATTTAATTTGTGCAATGCCAGATTTTCATTTATACATGGTTCAACATTCATTCATCAATGATGAATGTACTACATCAGCTCTGGCTAGGAGCTATCAGTTTTAAAGGTTTTCCATCAACTGAAAATGAAACCAAATAAATTATACACATTGCAAAAGCAACTGGCAGTGAAGAATTTTCAGATATGGAAGAAGGAGAGAAGCCAAAGAATTAATCAAGAAATGACGAATGAAGAACTGGATGATCTTTATATGAGTGGACAGTGAAAGCAGTGATAATGAAGATGATAAAGTACCTTTAATTCATAAGAAACCCCACAAATTGTTAAAAAAGGCATAGAAACAGAATCCTAAGCAAAAATCAACAGCAAAAAAGAGCAATCGAAAACAAAAAAGAATAATTTTATCCCATACTTATTAATAAAAATCCTTTCGACTAACATTTGCTTTGTTTTTCCCTTTTAATTATAATATTTAGTTTTATTTAAATTATACATGCTTTCTTAATATAAATTACATCTAACATATTTTTCACATAAAAAGTTAACTTTGCAAACTGTGATTTTGCTGGTTGCACAATGCATTAACCACGTAACCCTCACATTCAGCAAGGGTTTACTGTACATGGATGGTTTACTATGTGCCGTAACGGGCTAGTGTGCACTGAACAGGCTCTCAGCAACTGTAATTTAACCCAATTGTATTTAAATGATACCATATTTCTGAATACTCATGTCTTTACTCTGTTATATACAATGGAAAACTGTTTATATGTCCTTCAGAGGACCATCCACAAATAAAGTATAAATGAAAAAGATGTATAAACGAAATTTTAATTCAGGACCAGCAGCACAATTTTGATACTATTAACCTACTAATGCTTTTATGCATTTTTATTATTATACTTTCAATTTCCTTAAAATATTAACTATGTTCAAATAAACTCAGAATTATTTTAAATAAATATCTAGTTAGTATTAATATTTAAACACAATTAAACTAGTTAAACAATTATCTTTAATCAATATTTAAAAAATGACATTAATAAAAATTTAATATTTTTAATATCATAAGAATGCAAATTTCTCTATGCAATTATGTAAAATTGAGAGGGAACAAGTCATACCTTTATTTGAATTACCATTCTGAAAAAGTAACCCCCGCCAAGAAATTTAAACCAAATTTAACTTTTTTTTAAAGTCTTTAAATGGTTTCTTAATTATGAGTTTTGATTCTGAATCGTAAGCAGTATTCAGCTCTTGAAATGTTTTTTCTTGTATTCTTACACACAAAGAAATTTTTGAGGGTGTCAATGCAGTAGACAGCATTTTGAAACAAAGGTGAGATTATTTCTTCTTCATTCCACTACTTAAATGATCATCTGGTAAAATGTTTTCAGCGAGTTCTTCAACTGTACACAAATCTAATGTCATTACACTGGTATCACAGTTTATGTATTCCTCGACTGAAATTCCAGGAGCTTTCAGTGTTTTTCATCCATAATCACAGTTTCATCATTACGTTTAACTTTGACTTTTTCACTTGAGTGTGGGTTTGTAAGATCTCATTTGTGTTTTTACTTGAGTCCAAGCAAATGAAATCATGTTCATAGCCTAAGAATACATAAATTTTTCTGTGCATTTTTTGTACTTACATTTTGAAAGGCTATCTGAATCAACCTTTTCTTAAAGAACATTTTTAAATTCTTGATAACACTCAAATCTAAAGGTTGTACTACACTGAGGAAATTTTCCACCAGGGGCAGATTTTAAAAAATGTTTTTTTAACTTTCACATTTTGCAACAAATCTGTCTTTTAAGGATAGATGGTACATTGAGCCATAAAAAAGTAAAATTTTGCAGTTTTGTCTCCTTGAGCCATTCTGAAAAAATGTCCATAGGCATGTATGCTTTCTTATTTATATTCTATTAGTACAGTTTTAACATGTTGGATGCACCTTGGTCTTTGTGGGTTTCCTACAACTAAAGGAGTTATTTTGTTTTGTATCATCAGCATTTGCATAATGTAAAAAAAACAAAAAATGAGAAATTCTTTACTTTGCTTCATGACCCTGGTCACCTTTGAAGGCTATGGTTTTTTGCAGGCATAAAGTTAAACAGCACTTTCATCAATATTAAAAATGTCTTTTAATTCAAATCTATGTATTTTGGTGGATATATACTTGAACCATTCTTTAACTGACATAGCAGAAACATTTTTTGATTCTCCATTTAACATGAGATAATAACATGAGAATCCACACCGAAGTTTAAATTTACGCCGCCATTCAGTTGTATAAAAAAGCTTCCTTCACATTCAATCGAAGTGCTATTTCTTTTGACAACTCCATTAACATGTAGCCATTCACTGGAATACTGGATACACAAGACAACTTTTTTTTCTATCAAAGACAACAGTTTTTAGTGCTGTCACAGAAATACCCAGTTTCTTCGCTAACTCAATTTTTATCAGACCAGTATTGTCCTCAAATTCTCTCCAGATTTTAATTTCATCTTTTAATAAGACTGTGTTTCCCTTTCATGCCACTTTGTGTAAGTTAATTCTCCTCCATCTAGTTTCTAGCTTCCTTAACCACTTGCGCTAAAAAGACGTGCCACGCTCGTCGAGATGCTTTCGTCTCAAACCGCGAGCGACGTGAACACCACGTCGATAGTCATTTATTGCAAAAATGAAAATAACGTGGTGCACATGTCGCCTAACAATGAGATTGTTTATTTCTAGAATTACAGCTCTGGATTGCATTCGCAGACATGGAGCAGCGTAAATGAGACACTTTACCGCTTGTTATATTGTAGCGGACAGCACCACAACCGTGAAGTTTAGTCGTAGCGCAAGTGGTTAACATAACATCCTCTGCAGAAGAAAAAAAACCACACTTATTTTTCTTCCAAGCATCTTTGCTATTCACGAACTGGTTTTCAACTCCTGTATCATACTGTGAGGTCTCATGCCTTTGTTCCCTCCTTCTATTTCCATTTCTGGGAAAATAACAGCAAAGAGTACAACATGCTTTATACTTTTTTTAAAAAATTTTATGATTTTAAGCCCAAGTCATATGTTTGGCACCTATCAAAGCTTATGTTTTCCACAGCTCTTTACAAATCTCAAATTATTCATAAGCTTATTTTCTCATTATTTCGGTCTTAAAGCCTTTATTTCAGTATCAACGACAGCATAAACTGCGTCAATTTTTTAACTGCATTTTTGTTTTGAACATTTGCATGACCTTAGTTAAATAACAGAAAGATGATTAAGAAGTCAGCTTTGCAACTGAAGATAAGAAAAAAATTTAAATGCAAGCTTGGTGAAAATTTGTAATTTAAATGCAAGCTTGGTGAAAATTTGTAATTTAAAATATAGATGAAACATGCAGAAATATGGGATGAGTACAAGAGATATAAAGTTCATTACAATTCAGAATTTTTTTTTCAACTTTTATATATCAGAGTGGCCAACCTGCAGCTCGCGAGCCATATGTGGCTCTTTGAAGGATTACTCGTGGCTCTTGATAAATGTACCCAAGTTCCCTTTTCATTTTTGTGTTATTATATTTTAAAAAATTATTATCGTTCCATGAGTGTTTCAAAATGACTTTTAAATTACTGTCAACAAATATGTAACAAATTTTATTTCCGTCTAAGTAAAGAATGATATAACTCATCGAAAACTGTGCGAACGAACCTAAACAGCGGCATAACAGTTCCATTCGTCGGATTTTCTTACAATGTGACTGCCTTGTGAATTATCACAACGTGAACAACGTACTTATTTGAATCATTTTATTCCACTTTAAAATTTGTGAAATTCTAACACCAATCAGTATTAACTAACCAGCATCTCAAAGAATTAATGAGAAGTGCTGTCACCAGTTATTCACCAAATTTTAAAGAATTATCAACAGAAGTAAAATAAATGTGTTTAATTTCTAATATTTAAATTCAATACACACATTTTGTACTTTTATTTATAGGTTTTCAATAAATAGAATTTCTGTAAAAAAATTTTAATACCTCATTTGCATACCTTTTAAATAGTTATTTAATTGTGGCTGGCAAAAAATTCCAAATTTTGAAAAATGGCTCGGTCTATCAAGAAGCTTGGCCACCCCTGTTATATATATATATAAGACCTTTCAGTTGTGTCAGAGTTGAATTTGCATTTCATATACCAAATAGAAATGTGTACAATTCTCAAACTAGCACTTTTATTCAATTTGATAACTGCACCTGTTGTAAAATATACAAATGTTTTGATTTTTTCTTTGCTAAATCATATCTGTATTACACAAACAATAATCAGCATTATTGACAATTACACTAAATGTGTACCATTTGTATAATACAAATATGATCGGGCTATGAACCAACTTAATAAATATGATTTTTACAATTACTGAATTTGGAGTCAATTTTTTAATTATTAAGTTTCTTTCTTTTCCTTTAATTTCATCCAGATCACTATTAACAAAACAAGTGTCCTTTCTGCATGATTTTTTTTTTTTTTTTTAAATTTGAGCAGGCCCTAACTGAAAATAACTGAAATAACAATTATAGATGAAGAGATACAGGTAAAGTAAAATTCTATGAGCATTTAATTATTAGTTAGTATTTCTGTTCAGAAAGAGAGTTATACAGAACCAAGGAAACAGCATTGTGAAATTTTTCAAGTTATAAAATAGTGCTGCATAACTAAATATTGCTGTTTATTAGGTTTTGTTGCCCATTCTTGTATCTACCTATTCAGTGTTTTAACAGCTAATTTTTCATAATTTATGCAACTTCAGATTTGCAGATTCATATGTATTTTTTCACAAATATTGAGAGTTCAAGATCAAAAGAACTATCTCTTGAAATGCTCAATAAATATATTGAAACAATTCTTGCATCAAAAATGAAACATTATTTTAAACCCTCGATCAGAACATGATCAACTGCATTTACACGTATTTTTGACTTTGATTTATGTAATCACTTACTTTAGTTCTTGCTTTCATGATTTTCATTCATCAGAATGATATTTAGCTAATTAAAGAATATACAAAAGATAACTATTTCAAATAGCAAGATACTATATACAAAATGGTAATAAATCACTTCATCTGATAAAGGCAGTCATGCCACTCACAGGGTTAACATATAATTTTCAGGACATATTAATAGTTAAAAATTACTAAACAAACCTTTTGCTGACTTCTGAATTGGAGTACCAGTTACACACCAACGATTGATAGTATGTAACTGCAATGCCATTTCAGCTGCTTTAGAAGTAACACTTTCTACCATCTGTGCTTCGTCAAGACAAATACGCCACCACTTTATAGCTAAAAGTGGTGATGGTATAACAGAGAACTTCCGTGGGTATCGCAAAGCTCGCCTGGATGCTCCTACATATAGAAAAAAATATATCTATTAAAAACACACATAAATTAAAATACATCAAATTTAATGAAAACAGTTTTAGGTACCAGTGTATAAATCCACACAAAGAACTTTGGTGGGTGTTAAATGACAATAACGTCCCAATAAATGTTTTTCCTCCTAACTGAAACCATGCACTTACATTCACTACGTTCCTTTAGCAATGGGTACAGCCTCATTCTGCTTAGCTATTATGATGTCTATATTACTTTCTACTGGTCTTTGAGATCTTCTAAACACTAAATAGAAAGTATCAACTTTATTCAGAATCACAAAATATCACAGAACATTTTAAACCGCACCTAAACCGTAGCTCAGGTCAGAACAAGATTAAGGCTTACAGAACTAATCCTAAGTACTTAAAAGGTTATGGTGCTTGCACATAAATTTGCTCCCTTTTCCCCTCCTCCCCGGACTTGATTTGCTTGCGCGGTAAATTTCGTGGCAAAATCGACAATGAAAACTTTTTGTGGTGGCCCTTTTCCTGAGTTTCTGAGAACCTTTTCATGGTACCTCTTTTATTTAATCCCTAAGCACGTGCTTATTTTGCTTAATAACACTAAATAAAAAATATCAACTTTATTCAGAATCACAAAATATCACAGAACATTTTAAAATATTCTTATTCCCATACAATGAAATTTTATTGCATTAAAGAAATCATACTGTGGAAAATGTAATACTAAAAAATACTAAACGATGGTAATAAAGGTTCATTAGAGAGTAGAATGAAGTAAAGTTGGGTTGAAGGAAGCCAGACCATATTTACAGCAGTAAATTTTATTTGCTTCGGTTAGTGAATTAATATCAGTCAAATTTTGTCAAGAACAGGAAAAATAAAACTGTAACATGCAGGAATAGTTAGATAGGGAAAAGCAGAAGTGAATATGGTAATGGTATATAATGGGATACCCCTCTTTGTCATTATAAAGTGCTGAAACCTGGCAAAAAGAATTGAACTACAATTAGCTGTTTGTTTACACAAGACAGACATTTAGTTTTCTGTCCATTTATTAATGTGAAATTGTGACAACCATGTTTTGATCAATGCATTATAATATTTGATGCCTCAAAGACTGGCATTCATTTTGCTGTTAATACAAATTAAAACTGTAGATGTTTAAAGCATTTTTACATAGCTGTAGTTCAATGAAAATGTTTTCTTTTACCTTGTTTTGTTGTATAATAAAATTTTCTACAAATTATTAATAAGCTTCTGAGTATGGGCCCTTTTTTATACCAGATACTAACACACTAAATTAGAAAAAAAGCCAAACCACTGATGGTAACTGATGATACAAATAAAAACATACAAGTAGAAATCACTGGTTACATGGGATATCAGAATGCTTCGAAATCAGTTTATGTACAAAGATAAGTAAAAAAGAGAAGAAAAAGAAAATATTCAATATAAAATAAAACTGCTAAGCCCACAAATTAAAATCTCAAGCTATATTTGCAGCCAAAGCTTTACTGTCCAGAAAGTGAAAAATCAATAAAGTCATCCTACCATGAATTGCAGCCAGATGAATGGAAGAAGAAATTTGCACTTCAAAATTACAAAAACAGCCATCTAATTTGCTATCATCTTATATATGACTAGCATGATATGATTTCAAGAAAAAACTGAATTTTATATATAAAAGCCAACATATTTTTAACATATTGAGCCCAGGGTCGAGCTTTCCATGTGGCCGGCAGTGAACTTTCAATGTGGCCAACTTCGGCCCTCAATTAACTTTCCATATGGTCCCTGGGCACCGATAGTATTAAAGTTAAAAAATAAATATAGTCTCGATGAAATGTCATAAAATGTAGTTTTAATAAAATTTATTGAAACATTATAAACAAAAATACGGCTTAGCTTTACACATATTACAATACGTAACAACTGTTTGGTAACATTTTGTTATGAGTCTGGATCAAGCCGACTTTGTTACCAAGGTTGTAAGGATCTTAAGTTTTACTAACGTTTATTTTATTTTAAATCTTTACTATCACTTCTTATTTTCTACTTCCGGCCAGAATTCAAAGCGTTAACTTATTTATGCAAAATTTGTCTGGCGAACGCCAAGTACTTAAGTTGTGGCTTTTTGCCAAGCGAGAGAGAGGAAGGAGTTAGTCGAAGCAGGCCGCTTACCTTAGAAGTTTTACTCAGTTGCTGGTTGCCTTCCAGGCCAGAGGTTTAATCCTCTTGATAATTTTAAACGTATTGTAGTGTTAACAGTTCTCTGTACTACATACGGCTTCCTGTTAATATAAGGCCAATCTTCCACGTTTATTATTTCAAAGTTAAGTTAGCGTTTAGTTATATTTTTATATTCTTATGTTTAGACCACAAGTAGTGGGTCTTTGTATTCCAAAGTACGGAAATTATTGTAAAGAGAGAAAAATAAAGGGTTTTGTATATCCTTCTTGTGTATCCTGTCTACTTCCCACAGTTATTGAACATAGCTTTAGTAAGCTCTCTGTTCCGAGTCAGGTCCTTGCATGTTCCCAAAGAAAGTAAGACGGAACATTGAACCTGATAAGGTAACCAGCTAAGCCGAACCCAACCAGTTACCGGCTGAACGGAAAGGACAGCAAATTCGGTGCCGGACTCAACGTATTAAAACAGGGTTACCACTCAAACAAGAGAATGAAATTTCCTAACTTTTCTAGGTTTTCCAGGCGTGTTTTAATGATATTCCAGTCTAACCTCGTAATGCACGTTGGCTGTGCTAAGAGGTAAATTAATTATGGTATTACCTAAGAATTTGCCAATTAGATATGACATATATATATAATCCCTCAAAGCATTACTATTTTAATTATAATGTGAATTGTTTTCTCCACTGAAGATTGAGATTTGAATCTGCCTAATCTGGATTAAATATATCCTTTTTTTGCACATTTTGCAGCTAAACGAAAGAAAGAAATATATTTAATGATATTTTTAAATAAATTCAGGTATTTTATATTTATTCAGTAGCATATATAAGCAAAAAAATATGTGCATTAAAATTCGTGATGGTATGTCAACATACTGCTAGGATTAATTTCAGGATTCTACCAGAGAAAATTTCCTGAAATTTGAAAGTATTATTTACCAATAATAAATAAATTTAGAGGGAAGAAACAACATTAAACGATATGAATAAGATAAAAATAAAGATAATTACTTAAAATCAAATTAGAATAATCAACGATATTTTAGCGAATGTAGTTATATTTAATGGTTAGCCTAGATGACTGCTTAGTATTCTTTTTTGTTTTACTGCAAAATGACAAATAAGGCATTTATTAAAAAAGGAAAAAAAAAAAAAGGTTTAAAAGATTTTGTGGTAAAATCTTAGAATATGGTAAGGCGTGGCACGATTTTGAAATTTGTCGCCAACACCAAAATGACCCGTTTACTTCTCATCATAATGTCGCCAAAAACCATGTGTACTGTACATGGAGGTTAGAATAGAATACGGAGGTTATTCTAGCCCACGGAGTATAACGATACGTATTCTAACCAAAGTACTCTGTGTCATTATACTCTGTGTTCTAACCGAACAATGTCTATATAAAAAAGAAAGGTTCCATAGACGTAATGCGATTGCGCCGCTAGAAACCGGAGGGAGAAATCACCAAGTGATATGGTGACGGAACCTGGCGGTCAGAATTTCTCTCTCAGCGATGTGTACAGGAAATTGAGGAACACATGTTAAGAAGAAACATTCTTTTACATAACGTTTCTTTGATTTTTCGCAATAATTTAAACACGGATTTTCGAAGTTTTCCCCCTCTCAAAATAATTAATCCATTAATTATTTTACTTCCGTGAAAAAATATTTTCTTTTGCTTTAAAGTTTAAAGAAATTTTAAACAATATTCATTTTATGAACTCTTCATAACATGACCTTCGAACTTCAACACCGGCTTCGAGCTTTGGCAGCACATATTTTGCACATGCAAAGCTGTTTCCCTTTACGTTGCAGCAGAGCCACTCCTGTTTCAGAGAAGTTTTCCTTCTTAACAATACATATTCTTTGATTCAAACTTCCATGGTACCATATACAGTACAAAGTCCGTAATCTGGACTCGTCGGGACTTCGGCGATACCAGATTAGGGGTTTTTCCAGATTATAGATCATCAATTTAAATGTGGTAAGATGGCACGCAGAAATTATACAATTAAAAATATGAAAACCGTAATTTATGAAATAAAGAGCAATTATGATCTAAAGGGTATCAAAATTTACAAAAAAACAGCTTAATATTTGTTTACTTTATTAAACAGTTCTTTCAATGCAAGTTGTTTAAGTTGCTTCATTTCTTGTGCTAATACTTTCTCTTTAGTTCTATAAACAGACCTAATTTCCTTTTCAGTTACAAAGTTCCACTGTTCAAGTCCTGTAATTTGCATCGTTTTTTGTGCTAATACTTTTTTTTAACTCTATAAATAGACATAATTCCTTGTTCAGTTACAAAGTTCCACTGTTCAGATCCTGCAATTGCTGTGTCAAGAATACCGACTAACTTGTCAATCAAAATTTCTTCATTTTTAATAACCTCTCTGTCACTTTCTTCACTATCGGAAGCGCAAATGCATCAACGCTTTACTGGCTTTGCGTGCATGCGTAAGTTTGTGGCTTTGAGGTCTGGATTATAGATTATTCCGGATACTGGACGTCCAGATTACGGACTTTGTACTGTAGTAGGAATGAACCGATTTTGTTTTATATGAGAATAAGTATTTTGTTTAGTTTAACATGCACTGCACCTGCGATTCTCAAGGTTACTGGAAACTTGCTTTTCCTTTCTAAAAGACAATCTAATTGGAATTGTGAAAATTGGCTCTATGCCAGCTGCCCGAATGAAGCACATGCAATACCTTAATTCACCAAGAAAGTGATCGCTTCCAACGTTAGCACAAAACTCGCTTTTTTTGGGGGGGTCGCCGTATGAAATTCCCTGACTTTTCCAGATTTTGATTAAA